AATCACACACTACAATAACCGGGAGGGGGGGAGAGGGGTAGAAATGGAAGGTTTCTCCCCATTTCTCTTTTGCTTTGGGTGCAGTAGTGCGTGTTTCTCATATGTTCCCTCTAATTACCAGCAAGAAAGTTCTTCCGTGCTCTTGCTGGATTTGGTTTAGTGATCAGCCCCCATATGAGTCACACGGAACACGCAATCCCACTGCCGCGGGAGTGACAGCTAGCCGGCGCTCTGGCTTCTTCTTGTCCCTTTAAAATCTGAAACCAAGGGTAATGATTTATCAAACTCCTATTATCAAGAAAATGTCAAACGAAGGGCACCTTGCTATGCACTGACGCAAACCCAGTCTTTCCCAAGGAAGTATAGAAAGCTTTGCTCTGGACTGAGCGAAATTCAGTCTGTCAATTGCCTGTACTGCTGGTTTTACCTCTACCGAGGCAATCTGTGGCTGTTTAAGACATGGTAAGTCCTTGTTTTCTCTTCTTTGCCGTTGGAAAGGGCTGAAGGGAGGGAAGCGGTGCCGGAGGAGGATCTGTCCGCCGTGCTGCGGGAGCTGTCTGTCCCCGGAGCTGACCGCGGCACTGACCGTGGAGCCGACGCGAGAAGCCTCCCGCGGACCGGGGTAGGGCTGCTGCCGGGGAAGGGGGCGCGGGGGAAGCGGTGGTACCCGAACTGCGGTCGGATAGTGCCCGAGTCCTGGCAGCTCTTTTCCCTGATGCTGAGAGACGGGATTGAGGCGAAGAGAAAACTTGCAACGGAAACAGTGACGAGTAGTTTTGTCAAACCTTCTTCTAAAAAAAGCAGGTGTATTTTAACAGCTAATATTAAACTGATGGGAAAGGTAGGTTTTGTCTGCGGGTTGTTTAAGGTATTAAAAGAAGTTGCATTTTAAATTAGAATTTTAAACTGGAGAGAAAGGTGCGGGAGGGGTGGGTGGAAGTGTCATCAGTAATCTGTTTAATGAATAGGGAATGCTTGCAAAAAAAAAAAATCTTTAGAGGTACGCGATTTGAAAATATAAGAAAAAGAGTAGGGATAGGGAAAGCTAGCTGTTATTGGCATTAATTTCCCAGTGGTGATGTGGTTGTTTCTGCGTTTCACTGTCTTGCTGTCGGGTTTTGAAGGGTGGCAGCCAGCTCAGAAATGCTCACCAGCAGTATTTCGCTTGTTTTTTAACGTCTCCGACTGCCTACAGGGCAGCTTGTCTATTGCCTATATATATTAAAAAAAAGCCGATGTGCATTGTTGAATGACAGAAAGGAAATGGGGCGTAAAATTAAAGAATCTTTCTACACTGGTGATAGGGAAGGGAGCATCCTACAGTCGTGATGTGAAATCTAACGAGGTCCAGCGGCGCAGTGCTGTAAAAACACTTATTTAAACTCGAATTAGGGGGTTGCAGGCGCTAGTGCGGGTTTTTGGTAGTTTGTTTTGAGGCTTTTTGTGTACCTTACTGTTTTCTCCCTCAGAGTATTAACGTTGAATGAGAGGGCAAGCAGGTGAGCTGGGGAACTTCGAAATTCTGCAACACTTTTGTGTCCAGATTTTCGAGCACATGCGTTTAGTGCACAAGAAAAGAAGTTCGTAGAATCTCTGCAGTCCCAACGCTTTTCTTTTTTTCTTTTCTTTTGGTAAAATATGTGACGTTGTCGTTTTAGGACTACACCAGTCAAAGGGATATGAACAAGCAGGTTGTGAACAGTCCTGAAACCGTTGCTCCTGGACCCAGTGAAGGTGCGGGAGTTGTAAGAATCAGCCCCGAAAATGAACCGCAGAACGCACCATCGCAAGCCCCTGCTGTGGTTGCCAGGCTTCCCCGGTCGCTCTCTAACGACAACAAACCACTTCCTTCCGAAGAAGCTAAACCGAATGATTTTGAGAGGACCAAAGTCGGGATCTGCAAGCTCAGCAGCACCCCGGTGCAAGCCAACTCCATCCTCCGGCGGGAATCTGTGGAAACCTTTTCCTGCAAGCACTCCCCTGGGGCAGGGACAGCCGGGCAAGCTGCTATCCCTCACTGCAAAATTCCTGCTTTGCAAAGCACAGACGGGGACGCTAATCTAAGCCTTGGTAAAAGCACGCTGGAGCGAAACAACGCCAAAGGCGCCTGGGTGACCTTGAGCCAGAGTACCGTGGTACTGGGCACAGATGGCAACACTTCTGTTCTTCCTGGAAGAGTGGAGGGGGTAAGTCGGCTCCTTACAGGGTTTCCTCCCCTCTTTCTTCCTATCACCCGAGAGGTCTTTGCCACTCAGCACCGATTTGCGGCTGAAACTCTAAAATCAGGTTCTGAATCAGGCGGGGATGGGACTGTGCGGCCGGCGAGGATAAAGGAGGAGGAAGGGGAGAGAGGGGGTCTCGGATAAGACGCTGTACTGCTGGCGAGTGCTAATCATGTCATATGGCTATAAACGACAATCGATAGTTCCCTGCTCGTTCCGATGCGTTCACCGAGCCGTGTCTGTCAGGGGGAGCCAGTTCGGGCTGCGGGACGCGTGTGCGTATCCCGGTTATACCTCCCTGCAAGAGCCCAAGTCCTGTCCCCAGTATCAGAAGCGAAGCGATGCCATGCCCTGCTCTTCCCCTCCTCAAGCTCGGGCGGCTGCTCACACCCCTGGAGACTGAATGCCTTGGAGCTCGTAACCGAAAATAAAGCGAGATCCATCAACCCAACCCCACAAGACGTCAAACCCTACCAGCCCCTGGCCCTGCGCCCCGGGAGGGCTTTGCAGTTGGCGGGGTGCGAGACAGGGAAGATGCCGGCCCCTCTTCCTCCTCAAGCCCCCCTCCCCCCGCCGATGCTCTCCCTGCCCGTTCTCGTATCCAGGTTTAGCCTGAAAGGAGGTGAGAGGGGCAGGTTCATTCTGCAAAAGCGGTTTTTACTTCATTTGAGTTCGCCAGGGGAAGGGGCTGTGCCCCTGCGGGCTTTGCCGGGGTCCTCACCCGTCCGAGGGCACCGAGGGCTTCGCTCCCCAGAGAGGGCGATGGGACCTCCCGTGTACTGGGGAATCAGGAGCCAGGCGACCCACCCCGAGACCCCGTGTAGATGCCAGCATCGCCGGGAGATGCGCGTTGCGATGGCCGGAGGCTCCGGGAAGGGACCCGTCGAGCCAAGCCCTGCTCCTTTCACACCCGGAGGAGCCAGGAGGGCGGGGGGTGTCCGGGTAGCGGGGACTGACCTTCCCCTCCCCAGCCCCCCCGGGCTACGGCTGCCGCCTCCCCTCCCTCGGGAGCACCTGAGAGAGGACCAGGGTTGAAAAGCCCCTCTCCTGTTTTCTCTGGCAGAATAGAGCCCGGGCAGCGGTGG